CCCCCCCCCCCCCCCCCTCGGCGTGAGACGGGCATGATGGGGTCTCCGTCATTCGTTTGACGCGCAGCATCCCCCCATTTAGCCGTTACCTCCACGCAACCAACGGCTATATAGCCGTTTCCCCTCCCCCAAATTAAAAAAAAACAAAATTTAAAAAAAACCTATAAATTCCCCTAAAAAAATCATTCTCTCACACAACTCTCTCACACAACTCTCTCACACATCTCTCTCTATATTCTCTCTAAAATATTTATTATTTATTATAAATATTTATAAAATATATTTTAAAAATGGGTTCATCTTCATCCGAAGATGAAAAAAGAGCTCTCTTTTTTCGTTGTTTCGCCATGAATTGTATTCAATGGTGGGAAGAAGGCCAAGAAGAAGAAGCTGAATCCTCCCGACGACGGACCCGACGACAATGTTTAAACCGGGATCGAACGGCCGCACACGCTTCACTTCTAAACGACTACTTTAATTTTTTTAATGCACTAGTCTCATTGCGATTAATTTAAATAATAAATTAATTTAAATTTATTACTTTAAATTTAGAAGATGTATATTTAAAAATGTAAAAAGTGAAGGTTTGAAGCCCCACTTTGAAGCCCCGGTGCTTCAAAACCATTTCCACTTTGAAGCCCCGGGGCTACATACATATTTCCAGTGCTCTTACTCTTTACACTATATTAATCTTTTTTGTAAGTGATATAGGGATTAGTAGACCTTACAAAAAATGACCCGACCTGTTTTGAACCTGAAAACACTGGGTTTTGAACAAAGGTTTTGATGACCGAATCCGAAGTTGACTGAACCCGAAATGACCCGCTAAAAATGGAACAAACCCGATCGAACCCGAACCCGACCTGACCGACCCGCTAAAGTAAGAAATTTTAAAAAATTATACATTTTACTACTTTTTTTAGTGTATAAATTTATATTTTCAGACAAAATTTTAATGATATTGCATAATTAACTTACTTTTTTTTCAAAACTTAAGCATTATTAAATTCCTTGTGTTGATTTATATGTCTAAAAATTACTTCAGAGTTTAAAATAAAATAATTTTATAGATCTAATACATTTTTTTGATATTTTAAATTTATTTAATAGAAAATGTAAGTGTTAATGTGAATTTAAAAAACCAAAGTCATAACCCGTTGGGTTGACCCGAATCCGATGTCACTGGGTCATGAACATACAATTCTCAACTCGAACCTGAATTGACCCGAACGTGAAATAACCTGAACTTAAAATGACCGAATCCAAACCCGACCTGACTGACGGATTTTCCAGCTCTAGAGATTAGTGAATTGGTCCCTTTTCCTTTGTACTCTCTTGATCTAAATTTTATTTTCATTTTAACCTTTTATTTTGCTCAAATATTTTTAAATTTGACTATAAATTACGAAAAAAATTCATTGAACTATCACATAAATTTAATATCTAGGAGATGATTTTTAAATTATTTTTTAAAAATATTATATTCTATAATATATTCCGTATGTTTACATATAAATAGAGATATTAGAGAGCAAAATACGGAATATTGAATTGAAGATCGTGAAAAACAAAAGGAATTCTTTTGGGCCGAGGGAGTATGATATTATTCGGGATATAACTTAGGTCAATACTCTCTTCGTCTCAAAATAATACTCACAATTTAATTTTGTACCGAGTTTAAGTAAAGTAAAGTTGTGTGGTTAAAAGTGATGTAGAAGAAAGAGAAAAAAGTAAGCCATAAAAAGTTTTCTGGAAAAAAAGTGAAAGATTAATTTGAGATATCACGAAAAAGAAAATAAGAATGATTAATTTGGGACGAAAAAAGTATTATTAAAAACTTTCAAGTGATGACCACAGTAATAGTTAATTTGGTTACCATAAAATATACTCCCTCCGTCCTATAATGATCTTCCCGGTTCGCAAAACGAAGAAAAATCCCAAGTTTTTTCAATCTATTTTATTTAAATATTGGTATAGAAATAAAAAATAAAACATACATATTTAAAACTACATCAAAAGTTCAACAAAACAAGTGGTGACAAGAATATTTTATTTTATCATATAGGCCATGAAAAAACACAAATAAATATAAATTCCCGTGAAATTGGAATAGTGCTCTGGGAAGAGCATTATAGGACGGAGGGAGTATTCCGTATATGAAAATCAAATGTTAATTTTATTTAAGTCATGATCAAAGCTAATTAACTCGATGTAGTAAAAGATTAAAACTTTAGAAACTCAAATTACAGGTTGTAATAAAAATGTATTTAAAATCAGAATTAGATTGACATTGTCAATGTATTTTAAAAATAATTTTTCCGACATCTAACAATTAAGGATTACTTTCTCAATTTTCTATAATAATAATAATTCTTGATTCGATCTGATCTGATTGAATCTGATATGATCTGATCAAATTCGATCTGATCTGGTTTAATCTGATCTAATTTTAATAAAAATAAGAAAAAAAACAAAAAAAATAAGTTAAATGGAACGGAGCCTAAGTACCTAATAGTGAGAGAAAAAGAAAAAAAACTGTTTAGTAAAAGAGAAAAAAGTTCCCAAACTAAAAGTAAAAGAGCAAAGTTTTTCAAATATGGCGGGCGGACCATAATGATTATTGTTGTTTAAGCACGCACATCCCGTGGTTTTGGACACAATAAATATAAAAGGCAAAATCCTCTTAGGATAATGTACGTTTAAAGAATGAAATATGAGTGGCCAATGGCGATAGCCGATAGATTTTACCTACAACATTTAAATTAGGATCTTTTTGTTCAATTTTTTTTCCAGCTTATTACTTATTTTTATTAAACTTAGATCTAATCAAATTATACTAGAAATAACATTAAACGGAAGTATAATCTGACCAGACCAGATTAGATTCTATCGAATCAAGCAAACCGAATGAAGCCTTACTTATCATCTCCCTTGTTATATTTAACTCAAAATTCAAATTTCAGTTAAAATTAACTCTTGTAGAAATTATTGATTCTTGTTTCTATCTTTCTTTTTGTTCTAAAATATAAAAAATTTATAAAATAGTTTATTTTTAATATTGAATTCATATCTCTTTTATTTTAGTTAACAAATTCATTTTCTGTTTTTTAATATAACATGTCTCAGTCTCACATACTACCCCGCCCTAGCTAATATATTTGTTTAATTTGATCTTTTAAGTCAAAATAAATAAACTTTAAATACCAATAAAATAAAAATTTACTTGAATAGTACTAAAACAAAGTGACTTTCTAAATGTAGTACCTTATGTTTTTATTTCCCAATGTTATACTACTAGTCATTATTCACTGGTCATTGTTCAAGTAAATATCCACCGTCAATGGACATTGTTCAAACTAAATGTACAACATCACTGGATATTGTTCCCGTCACTAGACATTATTCAAGTACTATTTAGGGAATAAAAATTTTTAAGTAGTACATTGAAAATTGACATATATTTTAATACTCCGTACTTTTTAGTGTAATATTGAGAGAGTGAAAAGAAAAGATTTTATATGTAGTGCGGTTGGGTATGATGTGTAAACGCACCTCAAAAATTTAACTCTTGTATTTTTTGTTTTTGAATTGTATCTAAATATTTTCATTAGATTTATCTTGTAAAGAAAATATAAAATTATATTTAATTGTATTAATATGTAATACGGAGTAATATAAATTTAAAGTAATTGATGAAAAAATTTATAGAGTATGATTAAAAAAAGTCTAACTACATCAATACAAAAAGAAAGATAGAGTACTTTATTTTTTTCAATAACGAACAATTTAATTTGTCTGTTACTTAAATATATCTTAATCATTCGGAATGCGTTTTTTATTTTTCTACCTTTATTTTTAAAATTTTATAAAAATAATGGTGGGTAAATTTCTAGCCAACCTGGGTGTTCCTCTGCGCTTATAAGTTCGTCAAAAATGCTTGTAAATTGTTTTTAACTTATAAGATCGTAGATGACGTGTTTCTCTGTACTTAGAAAATTGCAGATGGAGTGTTTTTGTGTTTATAAGCTAGAAAATTAGTAGGTCTTACTTATTTTTGAGCCAGTTATTTCATTTCTCTATTTTGATCAGATTACTTATAAAACTATCTCTCATCTATTATGAATTTTATACGTATCATTTAATCATTTAATCAACACCAATTTTTTTGTTTAAAATAATAATCACTCACCTGGAATGTGCTCAACTTCTAAGGTAGAAGTGTAGAACTGTACAAGCTGTTGTATCTCCTCTTGGTATAATGAGTTAATTTTGAAATTTTCTTCAAGCGAAGGAGGAGGCCGATGAACAGAGGTGCTGCAATGAACGAAAACGAGGGTCTTTAAAAGAAAACCCTAGATCTAGTCAGGGACGAAGATGAATATGGTATTCTGAACTTAATACTTCCTCCATCCAAGTCTCTTGGTCCAATATTCCTTTTTGAATCCTCTTAGGGTCCGTTAAGGAGCATTGAATCTCATTTCTTTCTCCTTCTTCCGCTCTTCGAGATTAGATCTGTGAGATTTGGCTGGGACAACAAATCAGTAGGATTTCCACTGAATCAGTTGGAGTTCGGTCTCCTCTCACTTTCTGGCTCCGTGTTAACGCAGATGCAGTTCGAGACAAGGATTTGACCTAGCTTCTTCCAGGGCATTTGGTGGCGTCACAAAGGTAGAAAAAAGTCTGGATTCCCTAGGGGGTTTTCATTGTTGCTTGTGGGTTCTAATTTTGATTTTGATTT